AGTGGTAGTGGTGGTGGAAGTGGTGGTAGTAGTAGTAGTAGTAGTAGTAGTAGTAGTAGTAGTAGTAGTAGTAGTAGTAGTAGTAGTAGTAGTAGTGGTAGTAGTAGGAGTAGTAGTAGTAGTAGGAGTATAGTAGTAGTAGTAGTAGTAGTAGTAGTAGTAGTAGTAGTAGTAGTAGTAGTAGTAGTAGTAGTAGTAGTAGTAGTAGTAGTAGTAGCAGTAGTAGTAGTAGTAGTAGTAGTAGTAGTAATAGTAGTAGTAGTAGTAGTACCAGCAGTAGTAGTAAACATAATTACTCCGACGGAAGAACCCCACATAAGAATCCTCTGGGCGAATCTGGAAAAAGCCATCACCGTCGTCCTCGTGGTTGGTGAGGCGTCCTGGCTGTCTCTTCTGCGTATATTTCCTCTCGCCTTGGCGCGGGCCCCCCTTCCACTCCTTACGTTGTCCCCATCCTCGCCCCCCTGTTTGTTCCGCGCCCCGCCACCTCCTCCCCTTCCTGTTGCATGAGCGCGCATGTCGATGTTCCTCGGCGCCGTCGCCGCCACGGCCAGCACAGGCGCGTTCTCTACTGGTCACGTCGCGCAGCCGTTGGGACAACCCCGCGGGCCAGGCTGTCGGGACAACCCCGCGAGCCGCTGGCGCGCGAGACCAAGCCGTTGGGACAACCCCGCGGGCTTCGAGCGAGGCGCAGCCGCGCTCAGGCGGAAGGCAGCACGAAGCCCAGCTCTGCCGCGAGCTGCTTCGCCTCCGCCCTGGACAAAACCGCTCTCTTGTCGAACTCCAGGAGCGCCTTCCGCAGGGACGCCGGCGGCCCGCACTCCAGGAACTCTCGCGGCGGCGGCCGCAGGATCAGCATGTTCCGCATGCACGTGGCGCGGGAGAACATGACGTAGAGGTGCAGCCACCACTGCTCGTCCGACATGCCCGTGCGGCCAGCGTCCTCGTCTCTCGCGCAGTCGATGGTGACGCCCTTGCGCAGCGTCTGGCCCTGCGACAGCGTGGAGGTCAGGTAGGACGCGTGCGTCAGGGTGAACCCCGAGCGGCGCACGCTGTGCGCCCCCGAGCTCTGCCATGTGAACTCCCTTTCGCTGGGCCTGAACATCAGCAAGCTCCGCGCCCGCGCCTCGGCCTGGCCGTCGTCGTCGGCGCCTTCGGCGCCCTGTCGCAGCACCTCGGCGACCTCCTGGTAGATCGGAGACTCCTTGAAGCCGTGCACCTGCAGCCAGATTCCTGACCCGCTCGGATTACCAACATGATCTGCGGGCCCCATAGGGAGGGGGCTCCCGCCTGAGACTTCCTCGCAGTTCACTCACAGACGAGGCTCCCGCCTGAGACTTCCTCCATATTCAAGCTTGAGGAGCCCAAAATTGACGACAGTTACAGGTTTCCGATGACCCGCTCGGATTACCAACATGATCTGCGGGCCCCATAGGGAGGGGGCTCCCGCCTGAGACTTCCTCACAATTCACTCAGAGACGAGGCTCCCGCCTGAGACTTCCTCCAAATTCAGGCTTGACGAGCCCAAAAGTGACGACAGTTACAGGGTTCCGATGACCCGCTCGGATTACCAACATGATCTGCGGGCCCCATAGGGAGGGGGCTCCCGCCTGAGCCTTCCTCAGAATTCACTCACAGACGAGGCTCCCGCCTGAGACTTCCTCCAAATTCAGGCTTGAGGAGCCCAAAAGTGACGACAGTTACAGGGTTCCGATGACCCGCTCGGATTACCAACATGATCTGCGGGCCCCATAGGGAGGGAGCTCCCGCCTGAGACTTCCTCCCAATTCACTCACAGACGAGGCTCCCGCCTGAGACTTCCTCGAAATTCAGGCTTGGCGAGCCCAAAAGTGACGACAGTTACAGGGTTCCGATGACCCGCTCGGATTACCAACATGATCTGCGGGCCCCATAGGGAGGGGGCTCCCGCCTGAGACTTCCTCACAATTTACTCAACGATGATGAGGATGAGAATGATGAGTGGTGGTGAAGATGAGTGGTGAAGAGGATGATGATTGATTGAATGGCGGTGGCGATGATGATGTTTGAATGAGGATGATGCCGATGCCGATGATGAGGATGATGATGTTCGTGAGCGTGTGAGAGAGTGCGAGTGATGATGATGATGAGTATGTGAGTGACTAAGCATGTGAGAGAGCGTCATCGATGATGCTGATGAGGTTGATGATGAGAGAGTGTGAGTGAGTGTGAGTGGGTGTGTGGGGGTGTTCCTGTTCCTGCGCGGGGTGCCCAGAGAAAACAAGAACCCCACTTTGGATGTGGGGAATAATCATATGCGTGTTCCTTTCCGTTCTCCTCCTCCTGCTCCTGCTCCTCCTCTTCCTCCTCTTCCTCCTCCCCCTCCTCCTCCACCTCCTGTTGCTGCAGCTCCTCCCCCTCCTCCTCCTCCTCCTCCTCCTCCTCCTCCTCTTTTTCCTCCTTCTCCTTCTCCTTTTTCTCCTGCTGCTGCAGCCCCTCCCTCCCGGCCGACCTCTGACGTTCCCTGCCCGCCACCGCGCGCTCGGGGCCTCGTGGGCCTTCGCGGAAGCCTTCCCCTGCAGGTCCGAAACCACGGCCGTGGCGCGCGACGCGTGCCTGCCCCGCGGCGCGGGGCGCCGGTGGCCGAGCGGCAGGAAGGGCAATCGCAGGCCGATAATCTTAGCACCCCCCCTGCTGGGCCCTTTGGGGAGGAGGAGGAGGAGGAGGAGGAGGAGGAGGAGGAGGAGGAGGAGGAGGAGGAGGAGTCGGCGGAGGAGGAGGGGGAGGAGACGGCGGAGGAGGAGAAAGGGGAGGGGGGTGCTGGTAACGTTTTAGAAGGCTGCTTCTCTCGACGGCTTGGTCTACGATTCCTGCGCCTGCAGCCTCGGCCTCAGCCCCTGGGTGTGGCCGTGATGCCGCTCCGCGTCCACTGCCAGGCTGCCTCAGAGCAGGCTGGCCGCTCTGGCCACTCCTGACGAAGGTGTTCGTGCTGTGAATGCCCTCCCTGTTTCCCCCGCCCTCCGCGGCCGCTTTCCGGCCACACTCCTCCTCCTCCTCCTCCTCCTCCTCCTCCTCCTCCTCCTCCTCCTCCTCCTCCTCCTCCTCCTCCTCCCCTCTCTTGCAGCAGGACGATTCGTGCGTGCCCGAACCCGGCCCACTGGAGCGCGCGCGCGCCGATCGCCCCTGCCGCGCTGCGACGGAAAAAGGTGTCTTCTGGCGGGGGACTCCAGTCCGTCAACAGGGTCGCCGAAAAGAGGATTCGTTTCCAAGTGTTTTTATTTTTGGGGGGGGGTCTAAATTCTAAAGACCTCCTGCGGCCAGAAGCCAAGCGGACCACCTTCAGAACAGGCACCCCGACGAGCGACGCCTGTCCGCAGACGCACCCTGCGGCAGGAGCCTCCGATCCGGGCGGCCCCGTCGAGGAAAAGCGCCCCGGCCCGCCCGGCGCACGAGAGCCGTGGGCACCGGAGAGCGGTCGGGCGTTGCGCAGCGGAGGGGCGAGAAATGGGGTGGGGTGGGGTGGGGTGGGGTGGGGTGTGGTGCGTTGCGTAACGGGGTGGGGTGTTACGTAACGGGGTGGGGTGGGGTGTTGCGTAAGAGTGGTCGGGCGTTGCGTAACGGGGTGGGGTGGGGTGGGGGTGCGGGGGGGCGTGCATCTTTCGCACGCCTCTGGGGCCCGAGGGGGCCCCCCCTCCAGGAAGCAGCCCGTCCAGGGCACCAGGAGGCCCCGGAGCGAAACACGGTGGCGGGCGCGCGGCTTGTCATCATCTTCTCCTCCTCCTCGTCGCGCGCGCTTGCTTTCCATCTCTCTCTCTCTCTCTCTCTTTCGCTCTCGTTGTTACGCGATGCTTGCTGCTCGTGTATTCATTTATCATGTCTTTCCTTATCCTTTTTGTTTGTGTTTCTCTCTCTCTGTTTCTTTATTTATTTCTCTTTGTTCTTCTCTCTCTCCTTCTCTCATAGATGTATATATATATATATATAGATAGAATGCAGGAGAGGACACGGGCGGGCCAGCAGGCAGCAGCAGGGGGGGCGAGGTGGAAGCGCCCCCTCGCCAGCTCGGCACGGCGACCTCCTGGCGGCCAGGGCGGCCTCTGGGACCCCTCGTGGGGCACGAACAGAGAGCCCCTTCTGGGGCACCCCCCCCTGGGGCCCCCCCCCCCTGGGGCAACGCCAACAATGAGGGGCAGCGATAGGAGGAGGAGGAGGAGGAGGAGGAGGAGAAAAGGAGGAGGAGGAGGAGGAGAAAAGGAGGAGGAGGAGGAGGAGGAGAAAAGAGCTGAGGAGGAGGAGAAAATGAGGAGGAGGAGGAGGAGGAGGGAGGAGGAGGAGGAGGAGGAGGAGATGGGCAGAGTGGGGGAAGCATCGGCCTGGAGAATGGGCGACACATCGCCGACGGATCGGCAATGGGCCGCCGATAATTAGTGAACCCGCTCGTTGCTGGGCAGGTTGGGGCTATCGGGCCCCCATCGGCGATCCATGGGCGATTGGGGGTCGATGTCTCCTCCTCCTCCTCCTCCTCCTCCTCCTCCTCCTCTTATCCCCTCCTACATATCGTTCGTTTCTCATCGTGCTCATTTCTAATCGTGCTCGTTTCGAATTGTTCCTGGCCCCCTGGGGCCAGGAAGAGGCCCAGGACAGAACAGTCTGAAATGAGAGGACCTTGCCTCCCCAGAAAAACATAGAAAAACAAAGAACTGTCGAAGAATTCGAAATGAACCATGTGTCTGCCCATCCCCCCCCCTTCGTTGCCCCTGACTGGGGCCCCCGCCCCCCCCCCCTGCCGTCGTTCGGACGTCCATTTCCCGTGCACTTTTCGATGTCGTGCGTGTTTTTTGGGGGCTCGATGGTCCAGGGTGGTCCTCGAGGGTCCTCGCCGAGAAAACATGCACACGTCCGAGCGCTGCCAAGCCCCCCGGGCAACGCCCCACAAAAACCGGCAGGGGAGGCCGCCGCGCCGCGGCCCCGGCCGCCGCCGCCCGCCGGTCGCCGCCGAGGTCGCCCGCCGTCGCCGCCGGCCGCCGAGGGCCCGGCCGGTCGCCGCCGTCGTCGTTGAGGAGGAGGAGGAGGAGGAGGAGGAGGAGGAGGAGGAGGAGGAGGAGGTTGGTCGGTCGGTCGGTCGGTCGGTCGGTCGGTCGTCGTCGTCGTCGGCGTCGTCGGCGTCCTCGTCGCCGGCCGCTGGTCGGTCGCCGCCGCCGTCGGTCGCCGTCGTGGCCGTCGGTCGGCTGTCCTCGCCGGCGGTGGCCGTCGTCGGCGACCGCCGTCGTCGTTCGGTGCGCCCCGCCCCGTGGGGTCGGGCGAGCCCGCGGTCGAGGGCCGGCCGGTGCGGCTGCAGGGCGGGCAGCGGGGGCCCTGCTCGCACGCCCCTGGGAGGAGGAGGAGGAGGAGGAGGAGGAGGAGGAGGAGGAGGAGGAGGAGGAGGAGGAGGACAACGTTGGCAATTTCAGCTGCTGCATTGGTGTATGTGGTGGGTTTAGCAGCGGCGGAGGACGTGGCGTCGCAGATTCTTAATGTTTGCGTAGCACCGAGTGAGCCCTTCATGCATGTGCAGATTGCTGTAGAGCTGAACAGATGGTCCCTCATCGCTTGCTTGTGCCATCTATCTTACACATACATGTCTGTTGCTGCAAGGCTAATGCGTCGGTTGTGTACCTTACTATCCATCCCTCTCCGCGCGTTCCCATCCTTCTCTGGCAATGTGCTAGGACTCGCTTTGCTCAGAACCCTCTTTGCTCTCTCGGCAGACGGAGAGGATTCGCCGTGACGGCCCAAGAGGAGGCGAACGGTGATAGCGTAACCCGTCAATCTCGCCTCTAAAGGGCGAGCGCTTCCGCAGAGAGAATTCCGGAGTTGATGGTTTGAAAAGTGTTTCTTCAGTACAATTATTATTCTTGTTCTCCATCTCAGTTCCTGAACCAGCAGGGGACACTTGCACAGTACCTTTTTGTGGGCTTGTATCCAGATTCACAGACCTATCCCATATGCGTTCTCTTCACCTACTCCTACCTCTTCTTCTTCATGCACAATGGACGTGGCGAGTGTGCGAATTGCACGCGTGTTGGACAGGCCACTGCAAGACGGTGTCAAGGCTTTCTGCCGGACCCTGCCTGAGCGCGCCATCTTCCAGAAAATCTGCAAGTATTGTAAGATTCCCGTGGCTGAGACATCGCAACAAAACGCAGAGCGCCTTGAATACGTCCTGTTCCGGTGGAGCATACGTGAATGTCAACACCCAGATTTACGTTCCATGTTCCGAGACGTCCGGTGTGTTCTCGGCTGGTGGCTTTGCAGCGGAAAAGAGTCGTACATCGCATGGCACGCGTACATGTTTAGTGGAGTCGTGTTGGGCGCAGAGCACATGCACCGCAAGCACACGCAGCACCATTGGATACGGCGTTGTCTCCGCTGTGCTGGGCAAGACATCCAGCGCATCATCTTGGAAGGAGATTTCACATGTGACGGTTGGGATAATTACCTCCATGCGTTATTATACTCTTCTATTCCATTGTCCACCTCTCCCCCAGCATTGTTGTACATCGCGTTCACGATGGAGTCAAATGTGTGGTACATCGGTCAAACGCGCACAGCACGAGTACACCGTCGACGTACATGGTATATGGGCACTGCATGGCTACGTGAACATTTCAATGCTACATAGAGGCAACAAGTCTCACACAATGACAGACCTCGCTATCGAGCGTGGCGCGGCACGGCGTACGAGTCATTTGTCTTATTCCCTGTGGCATTTGAAACGGCACCCAACATCCTTAAGTATGAGCAGATGGCGATCAACATATGTACTTGAGCCGCCCACACAGACCGGCACTGGCGCGCCGCAGTCTGGGCAACCACGTCGTCCCCGACCTTACCCTCGTTTTCGTGCACATCCTCCCCTTGCTTCTGAATACTCCCTCAACTTGCTTTCCCAACTCCGCAAGAACCCCACCATGCTCTCCCGCTTCCAGGCTTCGTCGTGTACGTTTGCAATGTTGTGTGAGTGGAGTGAGCACACGCTGGGCATGGACAGGGACACCGTCAAAGCCTACATGTATTTTCGTGGCTACGAGTTTTGGCTTGCATTGTTCCTGGGGCAGTCTCAGGCGAGGCTGGACTATCGACGGGCGTGGCGGAAAGGCCATCTCACAGAATGGATCTTGCGCGTGTGGAGTTTATGCTATCGCCTCCCCAGGGTGCAATGCGGGCGTGCCAGGGGGAAGTTGGAATACTTCCTGTCGAACAGGAACATCCCCCCTTCGATCCCATTTTGTGCGCCATGAAAGATGGTCGTGGCAACAACTGGCGCCCGCCGAACAACTCTCGTGAGTACCAGTGGCAAGACCGCGGGCACCAACAGCAGCAAGGAGGGTACCAGCAGCAAGGGCGGAGCTCTGGAAGCTTCATCCCTGCGTGGGTTCATGATCAGTTGGAGGAGTCCCGGAAGATACAGAAGCGCTTCATGGACAAAGAGGCCGCCGACGAGGAAGAGAAGAAGAACTCTTCCATGATGAGGGTGATCAAGAGACAGACGAAGGCTGCTGTTGCGAGCATCTTCGGCCTGGGAAGCAAGAGTAAGAAGAAAAAGAAAGGTAAGCGAGATGTACCTTCCAATGACA